CAATCGGGAGCTATAAATTCGGGGAATTTTCTTACAAGTTATTATTTGATTTAATGTTTATTAATTGTATCATCTTTGTCTTGCAGGGGAGTGTGCATTGGGCTTAAATGGGGCCAAGGGACCGGTCGACATTAGATACCATGTTGAAACCTTTGATTTCAAGATCCACATCCCAAAATTTGAACAATTCAATGAAATTTTGGGTTTTGGCTAAACACTATTAAACTTGCCTTTGAGTTCAAAAAGTTTCCAAAGGATCTAAAGGACAAGTTAGTGTCCCTAGAATGGTGAGTGAATTTGAAGAAGAAGGAAAAAAATAAAAATAAACTTAGGAGAAAATGAAAATGTTAAAAGAGGATCTTACTTGAAAACGATTTATGGATTTCTTCTTAAATTTCAACAAATATGAATGTGAAAGAAGTATCGACTTTAATCACGTTACGTTGAAGTGGTGCGACATATAATAGAATCAGTAGAGCAAACCATTTTGCGTTAATTTTGGAATTTAAAAAGGGAAATTGGAGATGTCAAGCCTTTTAGTTGTTATCCAGTGACATGCAGAGGACGACTTAAGTATATGTTTAACTATTATTGTTACTCTTTTTATCAATCTGTACCATAAGAAAATGTCAAAAACATGAGAAGGGTTATTTGAAAATCTTATGACAAATTTCCAAATACGGGCAAAGTATCACATGCATATTTGAACATTTAGGGTGCGCATGACAACCTTTCCGAATTTTTTTTTTTTAATTTTTGTTCCCGGAAACAGAAATGGATAGAAAAATCGGTTGGTAAAATCGGTTTATTTTTTTATTCCTGGGATGAACCGATTTAATTTTTGTACTGGGGAACAGAAAAAAGAATCAGAAAAATCCTGTTTTTTTGTTTCCGGGCACAAAATGAGAAACATTTATCTCTCTCAATCACTCTTCACTTCTATCATCATCACTACCATCATCCTGACACGACTGCTGCCACCATCACCGCCACCGCTGTTGTACCATTAGTGTCGTCGTCACCAACCCCACCACCACGATGTCACTGCCACCATCACCACCACCACAACTACCACCGCCGCCACCACCATCACCACTACCGCCATCAACCACCACCACCATCATCGCAACCACTGTCGTCATCGCCACCGCCGCCATCACCATGCCATTGTCACCACCACCACCGTCACCACTACCACCACGACGCCACCGCTACCATTACCACCACCGTCACCAACAACCACTATTGTCGCCGCCACCACCAACCACCACTACTATCGTCACCACCACCACCACCCCCGCAACTACCATCACCACTACCACCGTTGGTGCCGCCGCCACCACCACCACCATTGTCACCTACCGCCACCGCCGCAACCACTGCCACCACCACCATGATGCCATCACAACCACCACCACCACCATGTCACCGCTACCATTGTTGTCGCCACCAACCACCATCCCTACCACCATCGCCGCAACCACTGCCGTCACAACCACCACCACTATCATCACCACGTCACTGCCACCGTCGCCGCCACTACCGTACTGCCGCCGTCGCCACCACCACCATGCCACCCCTCGTCGCCACCACCACCACAACCACATCATATGAAAATGAAAATGATGATTCGAAATTTTTTTTATATTTAATAGGAATTATTTTTTATTATATTACTTGTTATGTTATCAAACACAATTCTCATTCTCAGAATAAAAATAGAACATGTTATCAAACACATTTTTTTCTCAGAAACTGTTCCAAGGCACAGAAATAGAAAAGAATTGTTTCTTTTCAGAAACAGTGCTAGGGAATAGAATGATTGTCATACACACCCTTAAAATTATCTAAAAAATAAATAAACATACATTTTCTAAACAGTTAGATTTGGGATTTTTATCCTATATATTTTTTGAAATATATTGTTGAATAAGTAATTTCTTAGAATAAAAATATTTATTTTGTTGCCCCAAAAAATAGTTATTTTAAAAATTATGAATATAATTAAAGTTTAGGTGGGTCTAATTAAAATTTGAGTCACTAATAAAACTAACCTCAAAAAGTTGTACCAGCAATAAAGACGAGTATAATATATAGTTAAGCACATTATCACTATATATATTTTTTAGACTTGTTAAAGATAAATCATGCATTACTTGGGGTATATGCATAAATTGAACTGGATATTATTTGAATACTAAACCCCAAATGTGATGTGATAGCATTGTTTCAAATTGCATGTGGTTGTGTTGGGGCTTGGCGGGGAGTTGGGGAATGGTACTCGATGATATTTCTTTTTTATTTGTATTTGACGATGTCCAATATTGAAGATGCAAGCTTCAGCCCAGATGCAAACTCCAACTCATGCAGCCCATGTAGCTCAGTAGCAGTTAGTTCAGCTGTTGATAAATTACAAACGTGATTCTTCTCTTAGCTGTTGAGAGTAGTTAGCATTAAGTTATATGGTTGTAACTGGTTAGTAGTTAATTTTCTTTTCTGTTAACTTTTAGCTGCTTTAGCTTAGTCTTGATCTGGTGTATAGAAAGCCACATTTGGCTTGTGTATCTTTCATCTTTACCATTTTAATCAAAGTAAATTTTCTTGAGATGGTATTAGAGCTTTAGCTCTGGTATCCCACTCTTTTTGCTGCAACTCTGAATCAAGAAACAAAGGCAAATCAAGCTCTTCTAGATTTTCTCACTAATCCGGGGAATCCACTTTTTTTCACTCCAACGAAAGCCCTGCGTTGGTATTGGTAAATCCAATTCTTGATTGAAAGAATTATCACAATTGGACAAGAGCCATGGCTATGACATTACTTTCAAAGAACAAGTTAGGTTTTGTTAATGGAACTATTCTACCTCCACAGCTGAAGATCCAACGTTTGTTGCTTGGCAAAGGTGCAATACGATCATACTTGTGTGGATTCATCGCTTCATCAATGAGTCCATTGCAAGATCCATTCTCTGGATAGACAAGGCACGTGATGCCTAGATTGATCTTAAAGACAGATTTTCACAATCTGACATCTTCCGAGTTTCTGATCTACAGTAAGACATTTACAAAATGCAACAAGGTGAAAGAACAGTTACTGATTTCTTCACTGATATGAAAAGCATGTGGGACGAACTAGACAATCTGAAGCTACTTCCTACTTGCAATTGTGCCATTGCATATGCGTGTGGAGGATATCAACAAATGAGAGATCACAGAGAACGAGATCACATCATCAGAATTTTGAAAGGTCTGAACGAACAATATTCTAATGTTCGTTCTAAGATCGTGTTGCTTGATCTTCTACCAAACATTAATAGAGTGTTCTTTATGATCATCCAGCAAGAAAGACAAATGTTGATCGAAGGAAAACCTATTGTTGATGTTGAACCAAAGGCATTTTCCAGTACTAGCAATTTTGATAATGGCTTCTCTAATAGAGGTGGTTTTTCTGATACATAAAGAGGTGTTTTTTCAAACAGAGGAAGAAGTCGTGGAGGATATAATCAAGGGCGAGGAGGAAACAAGATTTGCACCTTCTATGGAAGACAAAATCATACTGTAGATACATGTTATCGAAAACATGGATTTCCACCAAGTCTTAAACCAAGAAACACAGCAAACTACATTTCTTTGGATTCTGTTACTAATAATCTAGATCAAAGCTGCAAGGATGTAAAGGATATTGAAGTTTCTATGACACATGAACAATATAAGTCTCTTCTAAATGCTTCACAGTCTTCCAAAATCAACACAACCTTTTCATCAAATCTTGTTCAAACCTCTGTGATGAATGTTGATTCACACAACACTTCAGGTAATAATTATGTCAAATGGTTTCTAGATACAGGAGCCACAGATCATGTGTGCTTTGTTCGATCTGCCTTTGCCAACCTCCACAAAATTCCTCCAATTTCCATTTCATTACCTGATGGTTCACACAGTTTAGCCTCACTTTCGGGAACAGTACATATTTATATATATGTACTGTTTAATTCGATTTCAGTACTTTCCGATATTAAGAACGACTCTCCCAATACCAGTTTCTTTAATCTCATAATTCGAACTTGAGATTTCGGAAAACAAACTTACTACCACTTAAACTAACACATCTTGGTTTTGATTTATGTACTATTTATCACAAGAGCATTGTTACATTTAACCATTGCAAGTATCAAGGGGTAGTGTTAAAATAATTGTATATTGCTAGTGAATTTACAACATTTGCTAAGGAAATTGCAAGCTTTTGATGTTTTCGAGAAAAAAAATTATTTTATTGCTAAGGAATTTACAAAAGTTTACCTCTTTCTATTTTATCAAATGATACACAATTTTTAAAAAACATTCACAATAATTATATCAAAATATTAAAAAAAAAAAGTTTAAAAAAGGCATCTTTAATAAAAAATTATTGTGAAAAGGCATCATCATACCAAATCGAAAGGTGATATTTGTCTATTTCACACATTTCAGTTATAACTGTCAATAAAATCTGACAACTTTTGTGGACCTGAACCAACAACCTAGATTACAGATCCACAATTGTGCTCCAAGGCGATTGTCAATTTTGAAATACAACACATAATAGTTTAACTGTTAGTATTTTTACACACTGATGGGTAAACAATGTTACAAATTGTGGCTGCTTCAGGCATTTTGAATGAGCTTGACTAGATAAAGGTTTAAAAACCAACTGCACCAAATGCAAACATAAGACTCAAATAGAGACAACTTTATCAGAGTTAGCATGGCATGACAGCCATTAACTGGTAATCTTACTCAACATAGGTCAAAATAGTGACCACAAAATGTCAACACAAGAAAAGAAAATTCAACTCATCCTACACTGCACCAATAAAAAATAAAAAAAGATCATCAACAGAGTAATACCACACAAGGCTAGAAATTTCCTATTACATAAAATCATCAGCTGTTTCATAAAAGAATTAGAATTTAAAGCAGGACAGATTAACATTGGAAAATGATGCTTAAGTATAAGATCGATACTGAATAGAGTGAAGCTGCTTGAAAAGGATATATTTTACATTCCTTTTAACTTACAATAGCTGCTCCCCCTTCAGGAGTGCTTATGATACAAAGTCTACAAAGTGGTATAAATCAAAGATTCATTTAACACAGTGCAAGCTAAATATCCTCTATAAAATATTATATAACCCACAAGTGACTAATATCATCACTTTACCAAAACATCAAAAAAGAAAAGAAAGAATTTTATCCAGAAGTGAACCTTGTTTATCCTTGGATTTTGAAGCACCTCCCATACTAGCCACGACATGCTATAGGCCTGTGTGTTTCTAAGGCGTAGAGAACAACCATGCAGATGAGATAGTCGCTTCATTTAGTCTATGTGCTGCTTTTTACTTCAGTTTTAACCCTACTAGTTACTTTAATTCTTTTATGCTAAAAGAAGAATTTGAATGCTTTCGTCTCTTTGTTTCAGGCTCTCCTAAATGCAAGGCAACAAAATTATCTTCATTGGGGCAATTCCTTAGTTCAGAAAGACTTCTAAATTTCAAGTCTTCTTTTGGGTAGCTTTGATGTAATGCAGACTTGCCTGCATAACTTGGAATGAACTGGTGTTCTACATTTGGAGCTGCATCAATCTCATTTATGATATGAAATTCACAGGGCCTTAATGATGGGTTGAATCCGTGAGAGGGTTCGTCTTCAACTGGAACTTGCCGGATGTTCAAGCACAAAGGCTCAAAGCTCTCTTCAAGCTTTTCTTTTATTGGGACAGTGAGAGAGGATTCTCCAACGGTAGAATCAACTCCAGCAGCAAAACCATTCCTTTGCTCTAGCACCGCAGCTACAAAATGACCAAAGAACGGGAAAGTCAGCTGTAAATGTTCAGCAAATAAATAAATTATAAATATAGTCACTCATGCTCCAGTCCCATTTCTAAAAATGGTTGGCGGCAAAAGGGGTCCCTTCCTTAAAACCTGTGTATGGCAAGGCATCCACAAGAGTGTTTGTAGCATACTTGCATATTTCATCCCATCATCTTTTCTCAGTCAGCCAATGGCTTGTGAGTTTAAGGAACTTAAGGGACATCCAAGCTTATGAACGAAAGAGAAGGAAAAAAAAAAAAAAAAGAGGAAGAAAATCTAATTCGGTATCGAGCTGGTTGCCTAACCCTATCCTATATAATGTTATTTAGCAATGCATGAGAGAAGACAATGGGGCCCTATCAAGTACACAGGATATATGCAAAAAGAGAACCTCTTAAGCAAACAGAACAGGGGGAGAAAAAGGGGCGAAAGTCATACAATTCAAAAATTCCAGAAAGGCAAACTAGAGCGAGATGGAAAGCATTTTGAGCATCAAACAAACAAATACAGTTAAAGACATGCTCATTCCTCCTTGTCCAATAAGACAGGCAAGAAACATTCACCATATCTGAACACTCAACCCAGCCTGAAAGGCTTATCTAACAACACTCAGAATTACTTTCTATAAATTTTACACTAAATGTACTTTCGTATGTTTTGGAAGTTTTGAACCTTCACAGAAGGATGCATGCTTTCTGCAATTGAATCAAACCAAGTCAATTGCATTCTTAAACCGCTTAATAGTTGACTATATGCTTCTACAAGGAATCCACTTACAATATTTGATGTGAGTTCCTCCTGCTAAGATGCGAATGCAAAGAGCTTCGAACAACTAATACTACCACGTAAAGTTTTAAACAATCAAAACTTTAACCTATGCGTTTAAACAAGCAAAACCCAATTTCAAATTTTTGAATTTAAATATTAATTTGTAGGCTTACAGCAAAAGAACATATAATTATACTTTAAAGTCTCAAACCAATCCATAATAAAATCCTCAAGAAATTTATGCAATATGTAGTAGATGCAAACAGACGAACAAAATTAATCATTTGGACACCAAAATGCATCGTTGCAGTTCAAAGTACAGTGCACATACTGTAGGGAAGAACCCTTTTCTCAATCCAATTACAGAAAAAATTTCTACTATAAACCATCTTACCCGTTGCTAATCCCTATGATCATTGGCCAGATTTTCTCATCCAAAAGTTTTTCAAAGAGGACATCTCTATCAAGAATTGGCATATTATATACTTTATTTACACAAGAATTTACTTATGGGTGAATATATTACCAATAAGAATACAATTTGGAGATGCTTTTTATATCTAACATTTGCTATCCCTCCCGTAAACCTCAGACTTAGCCAATTTCATTCAGAAATTAGTAACATTGGCATGTATGCAGAATTCCTATATCCCTAAGCATTGATTGTTGTTATAAGATACTAAGGTTATTGATAATGGGCTTGGGCTTATACTATAGTACTAGTGCTTGGTCTAATTAATAGTATAAGTAGGTGCATTAAGTTATTGTATTTGTGAGTAATATCTTACTATTAATCTCATAATATACTGTTAGCCGTGATTCTCTCTTTTTCCTTTTCCTTGTCTAACACCTAAAGTTTCAGCATGGTATTAGTGCAATATCATCCCTTGTAATGTCCATGATTGCTTCTGCTATCTGAGTTTCCAAAATATGGAATTCTCCTTTGTATATTCCCCAATTTGTTTTTTCCATAAAACTTTATAATCTCCTCTGATATCTTCTGTATTTTGACACCTTGAAAAAAAAAATGAAAACTTAAATCATGACCTCAAGTTCAGAATTCTGGCCGACCCATTTGAGAACTTTCAGGCGACCCTTGGGCAGTTGCCAATGAGGAACCAGCCGGTCATGTCTGACCAGTGATGGGTGGACATGCAATGGTGGCTGGGTTGACCGTTTGTACTAATGAGGTTTGCACATCTTTCTCTGTTCCGTGTGTTGGCATTATGTACACCCTCAATGGCATTAGGTGATTGATTTTCCAGCAGGGTAGGTTTGATCAGCAGCCGAAGCTCTTGGTTACGGTTCTGGAGAGCAGGTTTCAGGTCTCAGTTCTCTATTTTCTGCATTCTCTTGGCTGGGTTGCCCCTACTTGGATTAGGAGGAGATCCTGAGTCTCTCAGTTGCCTTCCTTTGTTGTTCTGTTGCTGTTTTGATTGGGTCTTCATTGTTTCTTGCATTTGGAGCTTCTGGCCTTGAATTTGGTGCGTTTTAGTAGTCTGGGTGCTTCGCCAACCTGTTTTGCCCTGTGCGTGCTTTTGCAATTATGAGGAGGAACATTGAAGCTAGCTCAACATTGCTGACCACATTTAGGCGGCACATGGTACCATATTGGGCTACAACCAGAGTGGTGAGACTTGAGAAGTTCCCGTTGACAGTGTTTGGCAGCACTTGGACGGTGGCAATGATGTTTTATTAGCTGGTCTGACTCTGTTTAGTTGTGTTTGAAGTTTTGGAAGTAATTTTGTGTTGTTTGTGTAGACATTATTGTTTTCGGTTTCTTTCTTTTGCTATCAAGGGTTTGCAGATTGAAGACTTTGGACACTAGTAAAGGTCCAATTGAGTTACTAGGTGGTATTATACCCAACTGTGTTTTGGATATCAGTTTCAAGGTTGAGGGGCCCCCAAGGTTTTGTAATTTTTTTTGTTGAGACCAGTTTAGTTGGTTTAAGTGTTTGTTGCGTTCTTTGTTTTTAATGAGTTTGCTACTTGTTATTGTTTATGGTTTAAGTAAGCTTAAGTTTGAGGGGAAGTGTTGGAAGATATTAAGGTTATACGTAGTGGCTTGTACTAGTAGTACTAGTCCTTAACCTGGTATAAATATGTGCATTAGGTTATAATTGTATTTGTGAGTAAATATCAATCTCATAATATATTGTTAGTCGTCCTTCTCTCTTTTTCCTTTTCGTTGCCTGAACCCTAAAGTTATACCAGTTGTGAAACAATAAACCACAGAATACAGCAGCCTTTTGCAGATGATTCTATTAAGGGAATTGGATTACTAACAACTGAAATATTTCAGAAACAAACCTTGGAGTGCTACATTTGTTGTTATGAGATCTAATTCAAGGAGATCAAGAAGTCGGCCAAGGTCGACTCCACTTGTCCAATTTTCTGGGGGTTGGCCAATTTTTAGTTTCAAACGACCCCGATTTGCTGTCCCACCCCAGATAATGCCAACAGGGCGTGGCTTTTCCCCATTCTGACCAGTCAAAAGAATGAGGCTTCCACTGTCACCTTCAAGGTCAAATGTCTGCTGGTTCTCACCAACAACAAGAAAATCCGTGAGAAAACAAATCCCTTTCTCATCATTGTACTCTAGGGCATAGGCCATTATAGTCCCGGTAGTCAAACCAGAACTTCTTCCAACTTTAATCACTTGCCTTCCAATGAGACTGTGGATTGGAGACTGCAAGTCTATAATGTTGACATCACCAATCTCACCAACACCTTTTACAGATGTAATTACATTGTTCATATTGAAATCTTCTGCAAATGGGATGAAGGCCCCATCGGCTCGAACAAATGTTTCTGCAAGATAACAAAGTAGTAATTTGCATGTGTGGCAATGTGGGGGTCAGGACCCAATGGAAAATTCTAAGGCAAAATCATAACCAACAAATTTGAAATGAGATTATCACAAGTTTGACATGTCATTTTGGAAAGACATAAAAATCAAAAACTCTTATCTCATTATAAGAACTTAAATCACAACTAAGTGCATCATCTCCTAGTATCAGCGGAGGGTGAAAGAATTAGATTTAGTAGATGAAACAAATATTCAGCATCACATTATGGGGGTTTGTTTATCAAGCATAATGCAGACAACAGAGCAGTACAAGTCATTGCTGTAGGAAAAGTGCAAAGTGAAAAATTTGACTATTCAGCACAAATTTTTTACTGTCAAGAGCTGAACAATATAACACCTCAATGAAATAATTAGCAGAAAAACTCCAACATTATATTTGTTCACAATTGCAGCAGGATACCACCTTTCAAGATAACACTCTAAACAGAAAGGTCTTCAACTCAACTGTAAAGCCATACTCATTAAACCCCTGGCCCTATCTTTTGGGTTCCAAAGTTTGAATATCGAGCATTCCCTCAGGAAACCCACTAAACAAGATTAAACCAAGAGGCAGCTTTTGGTAGTGAGGTACTTCTACTTTTGTTCTTCCTCAAAAGTTGAAAAAAAAATTCTAAAGAAACTTCACTTGATTTTATCTATATATTGGATTGAAGAAACTTCATTTGGTTTACTTGTAGAACACAGCAACATAAAACCTATTATTTTGACACTAACGACATGAAGTTAAAAACCAAATGTTAAGATTCACAAATAGCTCTTGACTGAGAACTTCTGGTTGTTGACCACAATAGGTAAAACATTCAAGATAATCTGCAAACAGGAATCACATTACCTGGGTTTGTTCCTGCGAAAATGCCATACCAAAGATCATCAGTAATAAATGATGTTGCTCTCTCAACTGCACCAAGATATACACCAGGTCCAAGGCTGGGTGGTAACGGATGAAACATCTTCTGGTTTGGATAGTCCAAATCGACAGCTACATGTCGATTTGTTAGAAAACCAACTTCACGATTTCCTGTTCGGCTTTTGACAATAGCACCCAAGGTTCCATATGTCTCTTGGCTAGCAACCTTCAAGGAGAAGAAATTAAAAAATTATAAACGAGAAAATGGGGAAATAATTACCCAGACTTCAGAATGATGCCAGCATTAGATCAAGGTTCAAGGTAATGATGACAGGAAAGCAATATTTGGAAAAATAAGAACCAATCTAATCAAACAGTACCAGGAACAATTTTAGAAGTAAAGAAACAATTGAAAATGAGTTTTATGTACTATCATCTGTTCTATCTAGTAAAAGAAAGAAACTGGTGGTCATCAGCATAGCATAACCATCAAGGCACAAAAGAGACAAAAACAATTATTTTTTTGCAACTATGACTGCTACACCATTTTAGCAACCATTTCATATGGAGAAATGCTTTATTTTTATTTACTCCCAACTAAACCCCGTCTAGCAAGGGTGGGGTGAGGGCAATCCTTGTGTATGGAGAAATGTATCTGAAGAAATTATTGCTATGATGGAAAACTATTATCTCAGCCCATTAAAAACAAGAAATCCAAAACTTTGCCTTAGGTGATTTGATAATCTACAGATGCACACACCCACGCAGAAAGCTGGAAACAAGTAAGAAAACACCTAAACACTAAATTGGTAAGTAAAATTGAAAGAAAATTTCCACTTTGAATCCAAAATGTGATTGCCAATTTGTTAATCCCACCAGTTTTTAAGACAAGTTAACAGTTTACCAACCACAAACATTCATCATTACTGCAACCTCTATATTTCATCGTTAATACAATTACTCAAAATCTCTTATCATCCATCAACAACACTAGCTCCATATCTTCTATCATAGACCAATGACACTTTCTCAAGACTAAATTTTAGAATGAATGGGTTGAATTGTAAAACAAAAACCATATATAATTTAGTGCCACGTTTGTAACCTGATCTGAACCAAGAGGAAATGTCAATTTTTTAGCAAACTGGCAAGTAATTATCCAATTATATTAACTGGTACCCCATAGAACCCAAGATATCTCAGAAAGTCTTGTTTTCCTGCCAGATCACCATACCTTATCATCAAATCTATTTAGAAAGGAAGAAGCACTATAATATCAAATATTTAACTGCATTTACCTCAGTAAAAACAAAAACGATTGTTAGAGATATATAAAACCATTAATATAACCTCATCCAACAGCTTAAACTTTTGGGTTGAATTGGTTCTTTACATGGTATCAAAACCTCGGTGTCACGGGTTCGATCCTCACCGCCCCATTAATTAATAATTAATCAAGTCTTGTGGAGTTTCTTAACACAGGTAGGTGGGCCTGTGCATTTTCTACCTTTCAAACCTAGTAGGCTCTAGTGTGAGAGAGCGTGTTAGAGATATATAAAATCATTAATGTAGCCTCATCCAACAACTTAAGCTTTTGGGTTGAATTAGTTCTTTACAAAGATGATGATGACCATGATGGCAGGATGATATAACTCTTCTTCAGTATCAAATTAAGAAACGTTATTTTCCTTTGACTTGCATTTAGTATTCAGAAAATGCAATACATAAAAGAAATTGATTCCTCAAAGCAAAAATACCTGAGAACCAGAGCCAACACATGAACCACTTCCCCTTAAGCCATCAGCAAGCTCCGTATATAATTGTTCTTTAGGAGTTTGTGCAGGTGCACCATAATAGGAGAACTCCACAACATCCACATCACACCAAACACCTCCTGGCCCCTGTTTGGAAAATTAAGAAATGACTTCAGCTTCATTAAAGATTAGAACAACCTTTAGATCTTACAAAATGCTGATATAGTTCCATAGTTGCTTTAAGATGGTGTTTTTAGAGAAAAAAAGATTTTATAATATGTTAGGCTATTACTATAAAGCATTTGTTTGTTTCCCGTTAATTTATAAAATCTGTCTAATTAAATTAACAAAAAAAATAAAGATGAAAAAGTACATAATGTAGTTTGATAGACTACATTCAGTTAGCATTTGACACCTAAAACGCATAGAAGAATTTGATGTTAACACAACTCAGGCTTAGGTTAACAAAGAACCATAGATTAGTCTAAGTTAGGTAAGGAAACTGACCAATAGAAAGGTAGGTGATAATATGAGAGAAGATCACTTTCTCATACTAGCAATTTCTTAATCATTTTATCATAAAAGAACATTGTAGGCCAAAGATAAATAGCTGACATTGCCTTATCAGCATGTGGACAACCATCGCACCCATGGGATGTCCCAAAAAATTTTGGTGCATGATTTAGTAAAAAACAATGTTAGCAAGTGATTATTTTAAAGATTTCCCCTGTCTACAATTCTATAGTTTTTTTTTTTACAAGTTATATATATCCAAACCATGGTGACAATGTAATACTTATATGTCAATACTAAATACAAAGACAACCGAAATGGAAACAACAAAAGAAAATAATCAATAATTCAATTGAGAAGTGTAAGGAGATCCACTAAAGCCACGTAGAAACCTGCAATACAGCCAGAAGAACCAAAATTCCCCACCTCAAGGGCAGCAGGAAGGCACTGAACATGGTTGAGCCATTGCCTGTGAACTTTATGGGCAACGAAGACAAGAATAGCTGGAATATCAGTCAAAACACCTCCTCTAATCCGAAATCCAATTGCAGTGCCAAGACTAAATCGGCGTAAGATCTTGCTATGAAATGCCCTAATAGTCATCAGTTCAAGCAAGGTAGTAGCTTGCTGTCCTGTGGGCAATCGACCCAAAGTTTCAGGTAGCACTCCCTTTTGAAGGTTTCCAAAATAGTTGGCCCTATCTTCCGCTGCATCATTCCAGCGACTCAACGTAGGCCAAGAAAAGTAGGCAGCATTGCTATCAGAATGCTGGGCACCTGCTGCAAAAGGTTGCACAGGTGAAGGACTGGATGAAGGATTAGGATGACCATAGTAGTTCCTTTCCAGGTCCAGGGCCGACTCCTCTGATTGTGTTGATCCAGAATGGACTCTTAAGTCCAATCGAGTCTGATTCATCTGTCAGCTCTCCTACATCACACTTAACGCAGCTTAACAAACTTAGATAATTGAAGACCCAGATCCAGTTAACCCCGAATCAAAACACTGTTTACTGTTATGCTCAAAGCCTCAAACTAAGAAAGACTTTTCAATTAACAAAAAAGCTTAAACAAAAGTGGAGAAAATTCTTGGGAGAGTATATTTTGTTTAGACTTGTCTATAGACTTAACCAGCAACAGAAAAATGTTTGCTCAAAATAAGATTCATCTGCAAAAAGTAAACCTAACAAGTAAATGAATATCATGTCATGAACATAATATAAACAACGCACACTAGAAAATCCCAATACATTTGAACAGGAAGCTCCATAAGTTTTCAGAAAATAAATAGCAAAATACAAACAATTGAACATAGAGATTATTTTAGCAAGTTCTTCCGTTGCAAAGGCTAGCACAGCCCAACTCAATAAATTTGTCATATGAGAACATAAAATATAAGCTATCAAATATAATGGTACTCTAGACTTGTATACAAAATATCAACATCACTTTGAGCACTAAATCAAAGATTAGGATTACCACCTTAAAACCAAATTTTTAGCAAATCTGCTACTGATACATATAAAGTATATCCATAAGAAGAAAAAGAGTAGGAAATTTACAAATGGTCATGCGCAGTGTCACAGGAAAATCCTGAATCTTCACGTGCACTAACAGCTTAAAAATCCGAAGCTTATCTCAAGCTACATGCTTTTATCAGAAGAGAGATTGAAACAAAGTAAATCCAGAAAGTCACATGAAATGGGTAACCAAAAATGGAACAATGGACAAACACAGTGTTGAAAAGCAAAACGACAACTGACCCGTCTCGGGAAAAAAATAAAAATAAAAATAACAGAAAACACCAACTTTCTCAGCCAAGGCACAACACAATCAGTGTGAAAACAAAACGTAACCCATTAAAAAGGGTTGTGAAAAGATACAATTTTGCAGGCTCGGTCACAGAAAACTCACCGATCAGCAATGTTGGAGCTATGAAAATGGACTCAAAACGAAGAAGCTTGAAGGTTTTCATGCCCTAGTACATGGAAATTCTATGCCAATCATCTATCAGATTAAGATTGCAGAAGAAGGGTATCACTTAATCTAATAAGAGCAGTTTCATAGGGTGCAGCATGAGAATAATAGTCACAGCTATAGCTACTGCCGCCAAGCTTCCCCTTCTTGCTTGGCCTCAACTTTGTTGTATATGTGTGTTTGTGTATGTGTGTGAGAGAGAGAGAGAGAGAGAGAGAGAATAGTGATGATGATGATGAAAGAGCACTAACTATACTATACTTGTGGAGGGTCAAGAAGCATTAATATAACTGTATCTAGTATCCTATTATATCTACTATGTTTACATGACAATACAAAATCAATGTATTAATATTAATTCTTTTAGCCCTTTTCTGCTGCTTTAATTTTTTTATATTTATATTGTTGTTTTTTATTTTTTATTTTTTAAGCTATCTAACTATGGATCCTATCTGTCACAAACTTACAATTCTGAGTGGGGAAATTTTAACGGTGGAGTTTGTGGCACCTAGACAATAATAAGGAAAATAAAATATATATATATATATATAGGTAGGATCCTTTGATATCATTGTCAAATTTAAAATTTGACACTTTATATGAGAGCCGTTAGATCAAAAAAGATCAACGATTCTGATTTGTAAGCATATGACACCATTGATATTTGTTGATCTAACACCTCTAAGATGAAATTTGACACCTCATCTGATAGTCGTTAGATCAAAAAAGATCAACGACTTTGATTTGTAAGCATGTGACACCATTGATCTTTTTTGATCTAACTACTATCAGATAAGGTGTCAAATTTCAAATTTGACTCTGATGTCAAAGGATCCTACCTCCATATTATATTTATATATATTTATATATATATATATATATATATATATATTTCTTGGATACAGATTATATTTATCAACAATTTATTAATGTGGGTGGGGTTTATTCTTGGATACAGATTATATTTATCAACAATTTATTAATGTGGGTGGGGTTTATGGGGCCATCCCTGTTTGCTCCCTAAAAGTTGCACACACTTTCAATCTAGCAATTCATTTCACACCTAGCTATAAAACTCAGCCTACCCAAAACCGGAAGGGAAATAAATAGAAGGGGTGCCCTCCCAAAAGTTGCATACACTTTCAATCTAATAATTCATTTCCCACCTAGCTATACAATTCAGCTAGAAAAACGGAGGGGATGCCCTTACTTTTTTGTCTGCTCCACTAGCTTCTTTCCATTTTTTTTCTTTTACTACTTTGGTAGGATTTGAATAATTATCTACCAAAAATATATAAAACATTGGGGAATTTGATAGATTTGGTTACATATGTATCTTGCGTGTGCAATGTATTCTACGTGTCAATCAGCATATTTTTATGAGAAATTGTCATGAAGCAATGGTCAAAGAGGACACATGGATTAATTAAGCTTGGTCATCATTTTGTTCGAGTTACAGTTACTGGTTCTTCAATCAAGTAGAGATCACCGATTGAATACCTTAAATTCGATAAATAAATATTAATTGAAATTTTGGGATAGAATATTGTGACACATAAATAATGTTACGCACAATATTACGATCACATCTTAACCGTTGATTTCCGCCAATCAACGGTTATCATTTTTCAAATCAAACTCATTAATTAATTATTAATTCGCAATAAATGATAACCGTTGATTGGCGGAAATCAACGGTTAAGATATGGTCGTAACATTGTGCGTAACATTATTTGTATGTCACAATATCCTATCCCTGAAATTTTATACCCAAAATTTTAAAAAATCATAATACGATGGTATTATATTGTTATATACAGAAAAAAAAAATTACAGTTGTAATTTAATAACTCAATTTACTCGGGTTATGTTCGTAAAATTATATCTCTTTTTTGAAAGTGATCAAATATTAATAGTATTGTAGTATAATATTAAACTATAACAAAGAAAGAAGTTAGGAGGTTTGGTAGAGGAGAATTTTTTTTTTTTGGTAAGTTACTAAAAGTATTTGGTATGTCAAATTTTTTTCGGGAATCTTAAGTTAATTTTAATGATGTTATGTGTTAATTTTTCCACCATATGGGAAAAAAACAATTTCACTCCTTCAATGGTAATCTTCCCCAACCATTTTATATATAGAAGAGCAAATGATGGGAAAAAAATTTAGGGTTTTCGTTTTATCCTTTAACATAACATAACAAACTTTTCTACCCTCACAACATTTTGTGGGGCCCACACTTTTTAAAACAAAAAAATAAATAAAAAATTAAGGCACGCAAAACGAATCTCTATAACATTACACAATCACTTTTCCTACAACATAACTCTTATAAAACCCAAAAGTTTATCATCCATATTTTTATTTTACCTCTTACCAGATACAAACAAATAATTTTTCCTATCCCATTTTTGTAGAAAAAGTTTTTTTCACCTCCTATCAAACACCCCCTTGTAGTCTAATAATAAAATTAAAGAAAACCATTGGAGCAAGTGTATGAGTGTCACAGGATGAGGTTTAGGTTCTACCTTGTCATCCAAATGGAACGGAAAGAAAATGGGAGCTAGACGGATTATTAGAGAAATATAATATAAAATTATTTATGAGTCATTACTTAAAATCTTGAGTTTTTAGATGAGATTAGTTTTTTAACATGATATCAGAGCTCAAGATAAAACAAAAAACAAGCCAAAAAGACTATTGCGGATATATTAGAGCGATATAATCTAAAACTATTAACAAAACTTTTAATAACTTAAGCTTTTAAGTGAGGTAGTGTTTAACAAAAAGCTAAAAATGTTAAAAGAAAAGGGGAGGGATCCACTTATCACCAGTTAAGTTTATTATTTCTTACCACCAAATTTTAATCGTTGATTTCTGCCAATCTAACGATTATAATTTATTAGATGACACTTATTGATTAATTATTAATTCCTAATAAATTATAATTGTTAGATTGATGGAAATAATGGTTAAGATTCAATGGTAAGAAATGATAAACTTAATTGGCGATATGTATATTCTGTCCAAAAAGAATATGTGTTGTTATCGAAAAAAAAAAAAAAGAATGTGTGTTTTCTTGGGTTTGTTATATTCTTTGAAGTTTTTAATGCAGGTGTCAAATTGGTTTATTAATGCCCGAGTTCGTTGTAGGAACCCATAGAAGGAACGCACTTGGGGGCTGTTTGGTAAGGTGGCAAAAAAAAATTGGCCAGAAAATTAGGGTAGGACAAATAATATGGCAATGTTTGGTAGGAGGATTAAGAAAAAGGTGGCTGGGAAAAAAACGTGACCAGGTATCTCTTTTACACATGAGATGCATGGAAAATTTTACCACCCATGGGGTGGTTACTTTTTTTCCTTCTCCATGGCAAATAAATGACGATTTGATATGACAAAAATGCCCTAAAGTTGATTTATCAAACCTCAGCTGCTAAGCCTAGACGAACACATTTGAAGCACAAGGGATAGCAGAGAAAGATATGAACGTGGTGAGAGAGAGACACAATGCAGGCGCAAGATAATATTTTGTATGAGAATCAAATTCAATTTTTAAATTTGAGAGTTATTTTGTAATTTTGCTACACTTTTCCACTAAAATATTATAATCATCCAATCATAACATCAGTAAAATTCACCAACTTTCTCGGTGAAATTTTGGCCTACCAAACACTTTTTTTTTAACTTACCCGGTAAAAAAAAAATTCTAACTTTTTTCTCGAAAAATATTTGTTCCCGATAAATAAAAATTTCTCCGGTACCAAACACTCTTTTAAAAGAAATCAAGGAGCAATAACGTACTAATGGCTAGAATTACATCATATCAAAAGTGTTGGCGATAACAACAAATGTATCCCTTCATTGGGCATGGAATTGCAAATAGAGAAGCCAACGCAAAGTTAGCATTGAAATGTACCACAAAGATGGCTACCCTTTAATAAATGACAACGCAAACCATGGAAGGGAATTTTTGGAGCGTTCTCAATGGAAGACACTTTAACATCATTGAGCAGTTGACTTCCAACTCCCATGGAAATGGTGTTTCACTCTAAGACTATATATCCACAATGAGAATTGAGAACCTCCCTATCTTAGGAACTCAATATGGATTTCTCTCACAGAATATACATTTGCGAAAGAAACTTGAGATGGGAATGAAGATAACCAAATCTTATGAGAATAGGTAGAGCGGAAGGTAAGTGTGTGGCTGATCTAGAATCCAATTTCAGGTGCACGAGTAAAGCCGGCAAAATGGGCTTGGCTCGGCGGACCAACCCGCTCCACCCACTAAACGGAGCGGGGTAGACTGAGTTTTTCAACCCATCTCAAAAGCAAAGCAGGGCGGGGAGGACTCATTTTTTGGCGGGTTGATGGTGGGCATAGACCGGTTAGTATAAAATAGGCTCGGGCTAGCGGGCTAACCCGCCAAACTGGACTGGGCGAGCTAAGTTTTTTACCTACTTTCAAAAACAGGACGGGACGGGCTGACTTAATTTTTGACAGGTTGATGGCGGGACGAGGTGGGGTGAGGCGGGCTGCCCACTTTGCCTGTAATGCATTTAAGTTAAGTTTAATTTTATTATCAATTTACCACTGATTAGGCTAACAAGCCTAGTTTCATGAAAATACACTTATTATAAAAAAAAAATTGAACATTACATGGGAATCGAACTACAAACGTAATACACACTAAACACATCCAACACCACTAGGCTAACCCTAGTGGTGCACTTATTATAAAGTGGAGGAGTGAAATTGCATTAATAGTGTTATATTTTTCTAACATATTCTTTCATACGAGAGTCCGTTAGACTTAAATGATGAATAATACATTAGGTCTAGCGTACCTATGCTAGAAAACTCTATATAAAATGAAGGTGATGATGATC